GCCTTATCAGCTGTCAGGCAAAGCCAAGCACACTGTTGTGTTGACTTCTCACCTGTGGTGAACTGGTATCGAGGAGACACAGAGGCATTTCCACAGTACACCTTTTCAGCGGCATGCTCATATCCACGACACACACTGCCACACTCCATTACTGTCTGTGAGGTGTTGGCAGGCAGGGTAGTATTAATAGCGGGAACACAGGCACAGCAGCCATGGCTTATAACCGCGCCCGGCCGTCGCGTGCTCTGGAAGCACCGGTGAACGCAGTGACCGGGAGAAAACGACGTCTCATTCTCGCACCTCCCGTCCACCGTGCAAGGGACGTCAGCAGCAGAGAAGTGGCCAATAGCGCCGCACTCCACAAGGAATACTTCCGGGGGAACTAGCAAGAAGAACAAAATGCAAGAACAAAAGGGAAGTATTCAGGAGTGGATTCGGCCAGGCCTCTTGAAGCGTTTCATTCTCTTTTTTTAAAAGCGTACCTAACAGGAGCGCGTACTTTGCGTGCGCTTGACACGTTTGCAAAAGACACGCAATTTGATTCACATAAACTCTGACTATTTTACTGGTGAAATTAATAGCCTTGGTTCAATGTGTACAATATGCATACGCAGCATAATCACATGGCTTACCATAGAGTGCAACATCAATAGACTTCGTGACAAGACCCGAGTCTGAACGTGCTACACATAGATAAGTGCCACTGTCCGCTGCAGTCGATGAGTCAATCGTCAACTTTGACGTCGTGCTCGCTAAATCACGGGAACTGCAGGCTACACGGTAGGCAAAGAATGAAAGAGCCGCAGAGATTGCTGAAACATCAGAGCACCTCCAACTGGTTTTGTTTTTTATTCTGGCAGCTGGGAAGAGTGTGGTTCCAGTGGATAGCAAATGCCTAGATTGGGATATGAATGTATGCATGGCTATGGGATGTGCATGGCATTCTTCTGACATCGCTGACACCAGCGAGATGCAGCACCGCTCTCACACACACACACACACACACGGCATAGTACAGATCTGCTGTTCAGTGTGCATTCGAGATCTCAAGTCTTTGACTATCATGGTTAGGAAGGGATGATATCAGAAACCAAGAGACTTGTACAGTGTAGGTGCACTCCGTGCCCAGTGAGAGTATGGTAGTATGGTGGACAGAAGACCCTCGCGTGGTGTGGATTGTTTGATACCAGCAGTGGGCTGCGGGCTGGGAGAACCTTGTCTATTCAGTGCTGGTGGATGTGTCACTCTGCAGCCGGTGACACAAACTATCCAAGCATGTATGGACCCATGGAAAGCCTGGATTCAAGTGCATCCAAAAGTCTCTTTTGTCATGCCTTTCGCCTCACTACTGTACAAGCACAAATTTTCGTTCACGAAATCTTTCGTTATTTCACTCCACCAGCAGGCTTGTTATGTACTAAATTTCGTTTTTGGTCAAGGTCTGTCACCCTGAACGTTCAGAAAAAAAACGTTAGCTATTTCGTGCCCCCTAACTATTATGGCGAAAGTTAATTCCAAACGAAAAATTCTACTTGTACAGTACTCAATCTGCGGACAGCATGCTATTTCGTTCTTCGTTCTCCTACGGTATAAATTAAATTAATTAAAATTCGACGGGTTCGCGTACCGGGCAGGTCAAGAACAAGGAGTCGTACAACTCCCTGGTCAAGAACCACCTTTCCGCTTCCGTGGGACACCACCACCCCATGATCAGGCGTCAGATGCGGCTCCCAAACGGTGGGGGAGGATAGATTAGATCCACCAACCATAGGCCAGAGGCCTAAATCCCATGTGCCACATCCATGTTTTACTCATGCCAGGCCACGAGTTCCCAATTAACTGTGGGTCGCAGCACGGTTGGAAAAATCCTTCCGCTTCCACTTGAAGCAGGACTTGAACCTGGTACCTCTCGTTCCTCAATCATGGTCTTAGACCAACCCACTGTGCCCATAACATACAGTAAAACCTGTCAAGGCGACCACTCGGGTAAGGCGACCACCTGCCCCAGAAGACCACTGTAACCAGGACCAAGGGATGCTATTTCCCGTCAAATGACCCTGGATAAGGAGACCACCTGGCAACAGAGACCCCAATTTTGAAGGTCCCTTGAGCGGTCGCCTTAGACAGGTTTCACTGTAGCACTTTCAATCCCTATAGTGTGTCCATAGTGTGTCCATAGTGTGTCCATAGTGTGTCCATTGTGTGTCCATAGTGTGTCCATAGTGTGTCCATAGTGTGTCCATAGTGTGTCCATAGTGTGTCCATAGTGTGTCCATAGTGTGTCCATAGTGTGTCCATAGTGTGTCCATTGTGTGTCCATAGTGTGTCCATAGTGTGTCCATAGTGTGTCCATAGTGTGTCCATAGTGTGTCCATAGTGTGTCCATAGTGTGTCCATTGTGTGTCCATAGTGTGTCCATAGTGTGTCCATAGTGTGTCCATAGTGTGTCCATAGTGTGTCCATAGTGTGTCCATAGTGTGTCCATAGTGTGTCCATAGTGTGTCCATAGTGTGTCCATTGTGTGTCCATAGTGTGTCCATAGTGTGTCCATTGTGTGTCCATAGTGTGTCCATAGTGTGTCCATTGTGTGTCCATAGTGTGTCCATAGTGTGTCCATTGTGTGTCCATAGTGTGTCCATAGTGTGTCCATAGTGTGTCCATAGTGTGTCCATAGTGTGTCCATAGTGTGTCCATAGTGTGTCCATAGTGTGTCCACAGTGTGTCCACAGTGTGTCCGTAGTGTGTCCATAGTGTGTCCATAGTGTGTCCATAGTGTGTCCATAGTGTGTCCATAGTGTGTCCATTGTGTGTCCATAGTGTGTCCATAGTGTGTCCATAGTGTGTCCATAGTGTGTCCATAGTGTGTCCATAGTGTGTCCATAGTGTGTCCATAGTGTGTCCATAGTGTGTCCATAGTGTGTCCATAGTGTGTCCATTGTGTGTCCATAGTGTGTCCATAGTGTGTCCATAGTGTGTCCATAGTGTGTCCATAGTGTGTCCATAGTGTGTCCATAGTGTGTCCATTGTGTGTCCATAGTGTGTCCATAGTGTGTCCATAGTGTGTCCATAGTGTGTCCATAGTGTGTCCATTGTGTGTCCATAGTGTGTCCATAGTGTGTCCATTGTGTGTCCATAGTGTGTCCATAGTGTGTCCATTGTGTGTCCATAGTGTGTCCATAGTGTGTCCATAGTGTGTCCATAGTGTGTCCATAGTGTGTCCATAGTGTGTCCATAGTGTGTCCATAGTGTGTCCATAGTGTGTCCATAGTGTGTCCATAGTGTGTCCATAGTGTGTCCATAGTGTGTCCATAGTGTGTCCATTGTGTGTCCATAGTGTGTCCATAGTGTGTCCATTGTGTGTCCATAGTGTGTCCATAGTGTGTCCATAGTGTGTCCATAGTGTGTCCATAGTGTGTCCATAGTGTGTCCATAGTGTGTCCATAGTGTGTCCATAGTGTGTCCATAGTGTTCACTGCAGCCAGTGAACATAGTACTGGACTATGCTATCCTTACTCCTTACTGTAATTAATCTCCATCTGGAAGCCGTACGGCAGGTTGGACATGCTGATGTTGCCATGGCAGCGAGTGGCAAAATGGATCTCGGGTATCGGATTTCCCGTGGCTGTGCAGAAGATTGAGAGCGTTTTGGAGAGCGGCGTGGCTAACGACGGCGTAACGTACGTGATGGCAGGTGCTGTGTAGGAGAAGGACAGGACCAGGACGCAAACCTTGCTTCAGCAGCACGGTCACAGTAAATAGAATATGAGTAGAGAGCATAATGGCAGAACACCCTGACCTGGGCATGCATGTAGTCAAGCATACTAAAATACTGGACAGTGCAATGCAACGTCATGGATAAACTGGACAGTGCAATGCAACGTCATGGATAAACTGGACAGTGCAATGCAACGTCATGGATAAACTGGACAGTGCCATGCAACGTCACGGATAAACTGGACAGTGCGATGCAACGTCATGGATAAACTGGACAGTGCAATGCAACGTCATGGATAAACTGGACAGTGCAATGCAACGTCATGGATAAACTGGACAGGGAAATTCGACCTCACGGATATATCCATGAGGTCGAATTTCCCTGTCCAGTTTTTTATCGAAAAGCCGTGATCGACATATGTAGGATCTGACCTATCTCTCTTCATTGACCAACCAGAACTATTCTAATTGTCCGCAAACTCAACCGGAAGTACACTGAATAAAGCCTTGCAAGTCGTGGTCGTTTTGCGTGTAGGTCTTTGTCAAGGTGATTTTTAAAGTGCTTTAAAATTCGATGTATGACAGTACCAACAAAACACTCTAAATGTGCAAGCAGTGATCATTCTTGAATCGTACCTTGTGTGCTTTGGGCTCGATTGTGTGGTGCGGAGCTTCCAAACGTGTCTACCAGGACAAATCAGAAGGCGTAAGGACATACACTTGTGATAGATTAAAAGCTGTGGTGCATCAGGATCATCATCACTTCCAAAGGTCCTGCACTTATTCCTGACCATTGTTTTAACCATCTGTGATTGGCACCAGGGAGTTGTAGAATCGACAGCGATGACATTGTTCAGTGCCGGGAACCTGGAAAGGGTCTTTTATGAGGCTTTCCGTCGCCATTCAAGCATGCCCGATTTATGCACATTTCAGTTTTGCTTGTAGTATCACTGGTCTTGGCCATGCTTTGCATCTGCAGGTTGCGACCGCGATATTGCTTGTGTGTTGCATAGATCAAAGAGCACATTTGGGGTTATCCCCATTGGGGTTATCGGGCATTCATTTCTTTACACTGAAATTGTCTAAGATGGTTGTGCTTCTCAACACAATGGTATAGCCGGTGGTAGCACTGGTGTGCAAACTAAACTGTATTACTAATATCTGCTTAGATGGTATGACTCCATGCCTGATAAAATGGTATGACTCCATGCCTGATAAAATGGTATGACTCCATGCCTGATAAAATGGTATGACTCCATGCCTGATAAAATGGTATGACTCCATGCCTGATAAAATGGTATGACTCCATGCCTGATAAAATGGTATGACTCCATGCCTGATAAAATGGTATGACTCCATGCCTGATAAAATGGTATGACTCCATGCCTGATAAAAATGGTATGACTCCATGCCTGATAAAATGGTATGACTCCATGCCTGATAAAATGGTATGACTCCATGCCTGATAAAATGGTATGACTCCATGCCTGATAAAATGGTATGACTCCATGCCTGATAAAATGGTATGACTCCATGCCTGATAAAATGGTATGACTCCATGCCTGATAAAAATGGTATGACTCCATGCCTGATAAAATGGTATGACTCCATGCCTGATAAAATGGTATGACTCCATGCCTGATAAAATGGTATGACTCCATGCCTGATAAAAATGGTATGACTCCATGCCTGATAAAATGGTATGACTCCATGCCTGATAAAATGGTATGACTCCATGCCTGATAAAATGGTATGACTCCATGCCTGATAAAATGGTATGACTCCATGCCTGATAAAATGGTATGACTCCATGCCTGATAAAATGGTATGACTCCATGCCTGATAAAAATGGTATGACTCCATGCCTGATAAAATGGTATGACTCCATGCCTGATAAAATGGTATGACTCAATGCCTGATAAAATGGTATGACTCCATGCCTGATTAAATGGTATGACTACATGCCTGATAAAATGGTATGACTCCATGCCTGATAAAATGGTATGACTCCATGCCTGATAAAATGGTATGACTCCATGCCTGATAAAATGGTATGACTCCATGCCTGATAAAATGGTATGACTCCATGCCTGATAAAAATGGTATGACTCCATGCCTGATAAAATGGTATGACTCCATGCCTGATAAAATGGTATGACTCCATGCCTGATAAAATGGTATGACTCCATGCCTGATAAAATCGTATGACTCCATGCCTGATAAAATGGTATGACTCCATGCCTGATAAAATGGTATGACTCCATGCCTGATAAAATGGTATGACTCCATGCCTGATAAAATGGTATGACTCCATGCCTGATAAAATGGTATGATTCCAGGCCTGATAAAATGGTATGATTCCAGGCCTGATAAAATGGTATGACTCCTGATAAAATGGTATGACTCCAGGCCTGATAAAATGGCTATCATTCATCTCTTGTTGCCTCTGTCCATCGTAATGCAAGCACACACAGAGAGATAGATAGATAGATAGAGAGAGAGAGAGAGAGAGAGAGAGAGAGAGAGAGAGAGAGAGAGAGAGAGAGAGAGAGAGAGAGAGAGAGAGAGAGAGAGAGAGAGAGAGAGAGAGAGAGAGAGAGAGAGAGAGAGAGAGAGAGAGAGAGAGAGAGAGAGAGAGAGAGAGAGGGAGAGCGAGAGAGAGAGAGAGAGAGAGAGAGAGAGAGAGAGAGAGAGAGAGAGACAGAGAGAGAGAGAGAGAGAGAGAGAGAGAGAGACAGACAGACAGAGAGACAGACAGACAGAGAGACAGACAGAGAGACAGACAGACAGAGAGAGAAGAGAAACGAGGGAGAAGAATAGAGAAAGAGGAATAGAGAGCGAGGCGGGGTGGTGTTTGTGAGAAGAAGGGATTTCTCCTTACCTTCGTCGATGTGGTCAGTTGTGCTGCCACATGTTGTCATGGCTGTGTTAGTAGCTGATGATAACAATAGTAGAGCTGCATTTCACACAAGAATGGATCACAGAATCACCTGGACTTGGAATGTGACGGGCGCCCCATACTACAATCTGCATACCGGTATGTAACACAGTGTCATGTGCACAATCAGCCAAACGGGCAACCAGAGCGAGTTGCGGAAGTGCCAGTGTGACTGACGCTAATGCGAACTGTAGAAAGATCACCTCATGAAAGAGCTGTGTACCGTACGACTCAGCACCCACTAAAAAGCATGTACCAATATGAACTCAAAGGTTTGTTGGTCGTAGGAATGCTCACCGAATAGTTCTCGGTTCAGCTGACCAGCCATTACTGGATACTGCTGGTGAAACTGGTGCCTCTAGTTGGCCGGTATGATAAAAAAAACCTCTCATGCTTTCGATCTGGCCTCTGAGTGGTCGTAAAGGGGGTAGTGCAAATACTGTGCAATGCACTTGCACCGGGAGACATGTCATCTTTCTTGTGTCAATGCCAGCATTGTGCAGACTAGTAATGGTGCTATCTCAGCAATAGCCTCATATACTCTAAACTTGAAACACACCCCTGCCAATTCTAATGTACTTCATTATCCCGTATGTACACGGCAGGGGACCTCCACTGCTCAAACAGTGCTTGATACTCGGACTTAATCTGCTCAAACAGTGCTTGATACTCGGTCTTAACCTGCTCAAACAGTACTTGATACTCGGACTTACACTGCTCAAATAGTGCTTGATACTCGGACTTTCAGAGGTCAAACAGTGTCAAGAATCCATACCTGCCAGGTATCCAGATTTTTTCGGGATTATCCCGCAATTTGGATGAACTCCCGCGATCCCGAAATTCCTGTCGATTATCCCGAAATTCACTGTACAAGAAACAAGCTTGATATTGTACTTGGAGCACTTCAAATTCTCTGAAAAATTTCCGTTTTTGAGTCTTGAACATGTGCAAAGTGTGATCCCATGATCACCATCAATCATGAGTAATCATCTATTATCGAAATGTTGGTGCCATCAAAAGTTGAAAAAGGATTTTTTTGGTAAAAATATGACATATCCCGAAAAACCAAGGCAAATCCCGGGATTTTGCCATGGCGATCCAGAAAAAGCACTCTCAGTACTTGGCAGGTATGAGAACCGTGTGACAAAGCTCTCTTACAAAAAAGTCAGAACTCTTGGTTGCAGCTCTGAGTTTGACACTGAGCGAGAATCACGCCAGAAAAAACATTGACCGGCGAAGAAAGCTCTTTTATGACTTGCAAGGGCAATCAGTGGTTGGTGATGGTGCGGTGGTGCGATGGTACGCACAAATTAGGCGGTGGATGGCAGAATTGTGGCGCGCAAATATGTGAGTGCGAAATGGAGGACCACAAGTACACAACTTACATTCCCCACCATCCTATCTCTGCAATAGCAGACCACTGTTCTGCCATTCACCACCGTATTAATTCACAAAATCCCACCGTAACTAACCGCTGACTGCTCCAACATTAGTGTCGTTTCACATCTGGGTCATGTGACCAAATTTGTGCAGAAAGTGATCAGGTCACGTGGACAGTGGAACCAACATGGCCGACATCACGTGACCCATACGTGCGGAGGTCGAGTGGAGTTGGAACCAACATGGCTGCCTCATGTGGTCATGTCACATATGTGAAACCACTCTCTACATTATCAGCTCTTATCTCCCGGTTCAAAATCATGATGTCGGCTGTTTATCGCTCAATGTGAATCTCGCGGTTGTAACCTACGTTGTTGACTTCTGTGTAATCCTGTATGTAGGTTCACTCTTTCTTGCGACCAGGTCACAAAAGCTACGTTTTGCTACGCAAATGTAGCAAATTTAGAAATCAATGACCAACGTTCGAGCATTCTCCGCCACAGGCCAACGAATCTGCTGGTCTTGCTTGGATCATTACCCCATTGCCCAGCAATGGGGTCAAGCTTGGCATGGAGACGCCATGCTCGCTAAATGTCCTTGATCAAGTTGAAATCTTAATTCAGCTCATGTAGCACTTTAGGCACTGTAGCGCACCACTCTTATGCTCATGCAATATCCGAAATACTTGGATGTTCCTAGCTTCGGAACAAGAGCGGGGCCACAGAACTAACTTACCTTCACAAGAGCACAGCGAAAAGACGACTGCTCGCAGCAGGAAAATCATGCCCTGTAATCCACTGCTGGCGATCTCTTCTGCCAGTTTCCATTGACCACGTCGCGAACAGCCGTGCTCCTGACGCAGAGCTGCTGGATTGGCTGCATCGTGAAAACTACGCCAGTACCTGGGACTTCATGGATTCGATGAAAACACGATCAAACATGCTGAAACGAGAAAACTAGACGACCATAATCTGAAAGGACCTTGTCAAAAATTCCCGTTCTCCAAACCTCGAAGCTGCATTGTAGATCTACCTTTTGCTGATTTGTGAGGTCATGAAAACCCGTGTACAGTCGACTCCACTTACAACGAACTCGCATATAGCGAATTTCGCCGCATGTAAACCAAAATGCACTCATACTGCCATGGTCCACTTGCCAGTCTAGTCATGTCTTGCTGCTTGTACAGTGTGAATGCATTTCAGATTCTGTTATAACGAACTTCGACTTTAAAGAACTAATTCTCCTGCACAATGGTGTTCGTTATTCAGGAGTCGGCTGAGTCTTTAGTTAGCACTCACTAGTATGGTCGCTAACAGCCAACAGGGTCGTAAAATGAGGACTTTTCCGACTACCGCTTCACAAAGAACAGACTACGGGGGTACGGGTAGCATACTCCACAGTTTTGAACCTTCATTCATGATCATGGAAGACAACAATAATAATAATTATCATCGTTGAGCTTCAAAGCATGGCATGACAACCCTATACTAGGAGATTCAACAACTAAGTACCGTATTTTCCGGGGTATAACTATAAGCCGCATCGGGGTATAAGCCGCACCCCCCTTTTTGAGGCAAAATATTGACTAAAAGTTGGTATTCGGAGTATAAGCCGCACCCACAAACCAAAATTTTTCACACTCATTGAAAAATGGCCTTTCTACAAATTTATTATGGTTATGGAGCTAAATACCATGTTAGATCAGATTGTGAAGTGTTAGTGCACCACAGGTTGCTGCAGAGATGTTGGTGTATTGCTGTGTTGACTACAGATCACTCCATGTCATCTGCACTATCTTCAGTCTCGCTGCCACTGATGCACTAAAACTAGTAAAAGTGCGGGGATAGCAACACAGGCGCGAAGCTGAGTCGAATGACATGTCACATGACGTCAGCATGCATACTGATGTATGCTAAGCATTCATTCGCGCAAGCATATTCGCCAATTCGGTGTATAAGCCGCAGGGGCGATTTTGGTCCGATTTTTAGCGAAAAAAAGTGCGGCTTATACTCCGGAAAATACGGTAGTAGTTGTCGCCAAGTGCGAGTCTTGTTTGCATAATCAAGTAGATCTGCGGTGATGGCAGATCGACCTTTGAAGAATCAACATCGTATCGTAGTGTGTTTAAAATGATCTGTATCTAAGTTGGGTCGGATACTGTAGCCTACTAGGAGCCTACTATGCAGGACTTGATGACTTCCTGCGCTAAACTCCCCATCTCCAAGTAGCAAAACTGGCTGACAAACACCCATCAAGTTCTAGATTGCATTGAATGCTACAGAGCAAGACACAGGAGTAAGTAAAGTTATATGCTGGCCTCGCTTCAAGAAATAATCGATGAAAAAATGATGTGAATGCTCTGACAGATTGCATGGAATATAAAGTACAACGTCCTGATAGAAAATGCCTCTGGAAAACATGGACTTTTAAAGGCAGTCAAAGTATGCATCCAGGCTATCGCACGGCGCAATATTACAAAATGTATCGGCTCATTGTGCGTTGAGACAAATTCCATGCCAGAAACTAGTTTATTTTATGGGAAACCGTGATATCAAGGCACCGACTGAATGCTGAACGAGGTCCACCAATACCACAAGAATGAAGCGCCATGCAGGGAGATGAACTTATTAACTTGAGTATGGCCAATCAACAGTCTTTACATGCACGGCAGTTGCCAGCATCGCTGTATCCCACAATCACCATTCAAATCGCTCTATTTTTGGGAAAGAATAAACATAGCAGATTATAATCAAATCTCGTAATATCATTACGAGACCATGCTCCGACCAGCAGAGTGCAGTGTGCAGGGTACATAGGTATGCATGTCGTGGGTGCATGGATCACGCACTGTTGCTAAGGAGATAGAAGTTGTATGAACTTGAGGCTAGCAAGCCTCTTCGGTTTCGTGCGACAGGAGGCCCGCTTCGGCATTGTCATATTTTAGGAAATTGAACTTCAGCACTGAACCCTGCCTGACAGGGAAATGTGAGAAATCCGACGTGCTAAGTGTGTGTGTTTCGTGCAAGCCTTCCAATGGAATGAGTTCTGGAGTGACGCTAGTCTCCATGCCGATGGGTTCCGATTCACTTTGGTAAGGTTCCAAGGTGTCTAAGTCCACAAGCTTCAGTTCTTTCGGTGCGGGCTCTGATTTGCGGGTTATATAGTGTGGAATCGCGGACCTTTGTGATCGAGCCTGGTCGACGTGGCTGCCTGGATCAGCTGAGCTTGTAGTCGGCGATTCCAGCAGAGTGCTGGCACCTAGGGAATGTTTGCCTCTTGGGCTAGCGGCATCCAAGGCAGTGCGGCTTTGCTTGGATGAAGGCGCTGTGGTCGTACTGGTGGCACGCTTGCTCGTGGATACCATGTCCGACAAGCCCTTCTTTGCCTCGCTGCCTCGAACGGTGTGAATGAGTATCGCTAGCCCTTGCAATGAATTGAGGACGGTGAAAATGTACTGAAACACAATCTGGTCTCGGATAAGAACTAAGAAGCCGAAACTCCACGTCAAGCCGAAAAGCATGGACAAGGAAACAACGATGCCCAAGACTGTCACATCTCTGGATCGCTCCTTCTTCGTATTATACGTAGTAATCTTCTTGCGACTTGCTCGCACTGACGCAGCGACAGCCAGCAAAACACCCAGGTTGTACAGCAGAGATACTCCCACTGGAGCTACAAGCCCGCAGTAGAATGCCAGGTCATCCTTTATCCAACACCTGCAGTGGAAAAATAAGGCAAAGAAAATCGAAAGACGAGCGGCGTCATTTCAGCGGTGCAGTTGATGTTGACTTTTCCATACAACATACCAGAAAACACAGTGTGTTCTTCACGTATTGAAAAAGGATTCGATGATGACATACTTGATGATAGTGTGGGTTACTGCTTCACTAGAACAGAGGGAATCTGATTATAAAGGCTTCACTAGCGCCTTTGATAACACAAGAGTCATCTACTGTCGTGGACATGGAAATCCGGTCGCACGTCTAGCGGCCCCAGGGCGCTGGCCATGCAGCCGTAGCACGTTTTATCATGCACTGCATGCTGCTGGTTGCATTGGATCAACATGATTGTGCATTGCATGCATGCAACGTTCTGTACGCGCTGAGGGCGCCGGCCCCGGTCAATCGACTGGATTTCCATGTCCGCGACAGTATTATAATTGTGCTTCCTCCACGTCATTAAAATTGTCGCTTCCCAGAGCGATTTTTCGAATTTATTTTGTTCACTCGAAGGCAAAGAAATCAGCTAGAAATTGAGGCAGAGCATTGTTGACGGACCAAGCTGGCTGTAGTTTGTGGCCTCCCGCTTTGCCTCACTTGCAGCTAAGGTCGACGTCTCCATCACAGGTTGAGGCAGACCCTTCAGCACTCAACAACACGCTGAACAAGACGCGCGTTCACATTCAGGTAAAGAAACTTCGTTTTCAAGCGATCCATGCCTCCAGGTGGCAGGCAATGAAGGCAAGCTAGCATTATTCAAATACACTGTAATGACCTTCCAGCGGGATAGGGTAAGCAGTTCCGCACCTTTCCTTTCCTTGATTTTGTTGGTGTTTTCAGACCTGCTACCTTTGCAGCAACATGAGCCACAGGGAGCGCATTTTAGGAATTTGAGAACACTTCGTTCTTGCCATCGTCAACTTCAGCATTTCGTATTCAGGAGAGATACCAGGATTCTTATAAAAGAGCTTTGCAGTCTTGATAAATGCCCACGCGAACGATGTGGGATGGCACGAACTCCAGAAAAAACGATATACGCTCTGGGGCGGAATAGAGCGGATCGCGATGAATTTGCTTGGTGCGGAAGAGAGCTCCGACAAAGTCCGAGACCACCACGGCTTCAGTAACCAGTAGACATTGCGCAGGAAGGGTCGCACCAATGTTCGAACACAGAAAACAGCGATTCCGACAGTCTGACTGAGACGAGCCACGTCACCAACATTGCGATGTGGGAAGCGACAATTTTAATGACGTGGAGGAAGTACGCAAACTCCAATGCCGTCATTTACACATTTTAACTTTCTAATCCAAACTCTAAATATTCCCACAACGGAAAATTTGGTGCAATGTAATTTTGAATTCGAATCGCAGTGAAGAGACCGTTTTTGGAGTTTGGAGTTGAGAAGTAAAGTTTCCTAAAAGAGTTAATCTAGCCAGAAGTAGTCCATTGATTAACAGGTATACTTTGAATAGAAAGTACATGGACCAACAAAGGTGCCAGCTACAACAATAGTTCACTGTCAAGAAGCTATGCCCGGTAGCCTTTTAATATATTTAATATCAATGAAGTACTGTAATGATTGAGTCCGAATAGGGCTACAGTCACTCACAATTTCCCATCCTTGTAAGCATCAGCAGTTGAAGCACCTGCAGTAGCTCCAACGATAACCAATGGTATGACTGCAGGGATAGAAGAGAGCAATTTGATGCATAGAATGTACCTTTGCCTTTGGCAAAAGATGTGTTCTCATCAAAGACAACAACATTGCCAGGACAGCTTCACTATTGAGCATTTTTTTTAGAGGGCTTCCAAAGTAGTTTTGTGTCCAGTACGTTTTCTAGTCGCAATCATTACATACGATTCGAAAAAAGATGATATCCCAATTGCTTTGGTAATCCCCCATGGAATCCTCTTCCAATTATGTTTTTGTATTCGATTTCTCCAAAAACCAAGCCATAACAAGAATATAATTTCGGCCAGGTTTTCCCCAATAGCACTGAATTGGGAAAAAACAATGATAATCCATGCCGTTTCACACCACTTGTAGTAGTGCAGTGTGGGGTTCGAAACTTAGTCGAGGTACCTTTTTTGGACCCATTTTCAAGTTTCAAATTTCGCGGAACTGCACCATGTACGATAAAATCACGATAATCACCAATTACGGGAGCTGGCCAGAGCCAGTGCTCATCTTTTTTTATGGTTGGACTGTATTTTCCGATGTTAGTGATATGAGCAAGCATTGAATATTGTTCATCGCTATAATTTCACTAAGAATTGTTTTAGCTGTCTGTGGCCCATATTGTGTTGCACTCAAAGCAGTTTCAACTCTGGCAGCCGCAATGTGGCTCTTTTTGTTCTTTGGTCATGGAGAATGGTGAAATGAGCTTCTATCAAAACGTACCACCAGGGCAGGAAAGAATTGACAAACAGAAGAAAAAAAACACAAAAGGTTGTAAGGCTCATCCAATCGCCTTGCATTCTGTACATATTTTCAAAGTTATGTAAGGCACAGCGGGACACTACTGGCTGAGAATGCTGTGAAACTGCCAGTCCCTCTCGTCTCTCTCCAAAAACAACCAAATCGAATATTTTTTGGAAGTGCAAATCATAGTGACTACTACTTCTGAGCCAGATCTACACCAACGCACTGTCATGAATGGAGTAATTACACGGCATTGTTCTATCCAGGTCTGAACTCACCGAATATCAATGTCTGCAGCAGTATTTTCAACCTCTGGCCGGTTCCATCAAACACGACCGTCACTCTCTTGTACAGAAAGGTCGCATCCACGGACATCCACATGAATGAGCACAGAAGTAGGTAGTGCAAAGCGATGGCCAGTGCTTTGCAGGCGACGTCACTCGTAGCTGCATTCTCATAGTAGAGTACAACAGTGAGGACGGCCAGGAACAGTAGGAGTGTTATACTCAAGCCGAAGATCATCTGGTGGTGGTGACTACGTCGAAGTTTCCTACGGAAGAACGTTTAGAAAAGAGAGCATGGAACAGCTTTCTGTGTTAGCCACTGCTTATTTAAACCCAGCATTTCTCCCCAACTGGAGATAGGCGAAAAGCGGTCACTTGATTTAACATGCTCTTTCGCTAGCAATTTATTTAACACTCTCCCTGAATGCCTTCCCTGTCTGTATTCGTATTTTTGGATTCTCCACAGGCCTTAGCCTAAATCGAGGCAGTCTCTGTTTGTTGCCTGTATACTTCTCTGCCTCACTCCCTAGCTGCATCGTTACCTCACTGGCTTTCTTCAGTGGATCACCTTACCCAGGAAACACAGTATTTGGCGGTCCCTTTAGCATCCAACATACCCCTGTAGTGGTACAAGCGGTTAAACCAACGCCCTGATCCCCTTTCTTCTCACCAATTCCAGAAATATTATGCACCTGTTATCCCTTTACATCCTCTCTGCAAACCAGACCAATATTCTGTACAAGATGTGGGTTCCTTACGGGACTGCCATGATGACAAAGAGTGTGGCAAGCAGAGCAAGCATGGAGATGCCACATCCAATCATGGAAATATACTTCAGTGCAGTCTCCGCATGGCTGGGCTCGGTGGGGACGTGACGCGACTGAAACATGCACAAAAAACACAAACATCACAGTGGAGATAATGGCACGGCGCATAGTATGCGGCAAGGTTCGGGTTGGCACGATCAAGATTGACAAGGGAAAACCTTACCATCATACAATCAGGTCAGCACTACGTTCCAGACGTCTTTAATTAGAGTCAATTGAATTCATCTCTAGCGCAGATTTTGAATCAAAGTGAAATGGGAGAATGACGTTGAAGACTCCATTGCAGCTGTACTGATGTTGATTAATATGGCGGTAAACGCCCATAATACCAGGTGTGTATCTACCGCCATATTATTAATCAACATAAGCGAAATAGGTCATAGCAAAGATTGCAAGAGAAGTTCGAGGTAGAAATAGGAAGAAGTTCAAACTTGAGTCGGAACCATTAAACCTACTAAAGAGCGTATCCGGAGACACTGCATAAACGGATGAGAAACTAGCACTAGTAGTTTGTTCCGGTGCCTTATGACAGAACTGCACCCTTTCCAAGTACAAACCGAGCAACTTCCAAAAGCGAAGAGAAAACATTCTTTCGTGCCGCTCCAATTGGGCTCCTGCCAGGACATTGGCCTGCGAGAATGGTTTTAACTATTAGACTAAAATATACTTTTTGTGAGAAACTAGTGAAAAAGAAGAGCGGTTAGGTTACAGTGCATTGCACTTACAAATAGAACGGCAAAGTTTGTGAGATGACTGCATTGGCACACAGTCCGGTTTGGAAACGAATCAGAGCGCGTAGTGTTGCAGTTCTCACTACTCCATCCACCTTTGCCATCATCTGCCACAGATATCATACAGATTAATAAGACTGTTGTACAAGTAAACCTGGGAAGGGAAGCTAAGATTAGCTACAAACTTGTGTAACATGCTCTTAGTCTCCATGGCTTTCTATGTGTACATGTATGGCTGAACTTTCCAGGAATTCCTGGGAGTAACATCCATGTTGCAAGTCCTACTAAGTTTCGATACTAATACCTAACTTATGGGGTGGGAAGGGGTGGGAATGGGGTGGGGAAGGTGGGGGGGGGGGGGGGGAGGTGGGGGGTCAGCTTGTTGTCCGGAGATTTCTCGCCTCATCTGGGGTGAGCGCCCTTTGCTGTTTCACGTCGTATCTTGGCAAACACATTGTGGAACAGAATATCCAAGAGCACTATCCATGAAGACAAACCATTTGGTGCCTTGGGGGAGTGCCGTCTTATCCAGCAGAGAGGTCCGTACTCTGGCTTATGCACTGTTGATAATGGAGCGAATGTGATTGTACTTACATTTGTCGAAATCCCAGAAGACACATTCCACGGGATCTTCCAGTGCCTGAACATGATATATTGGAATATAGAACAAAGTAGACAACGTTCAAGTGTATTCAAGGATAACACAAAGTAGCAGCAGCAGCAGAAACACAGAGAGATAGAGAGAAGGAGAGAAAGGTAAAGAAAGAGAGAGAGGGAGATAGAGAAGGAAAGAGAAAGAGATAGAGAGGGAGAGGGAGAGGAAGGAATAAAGAGACAGGCAGACAGAAAGGTGGACAGACAAAGAAGGAGTTTGTCTACCGGAATATTCTCAAAAGAACATCAGTCATGCATCCATGTTTCCCTCGTGCCAGGCCACGAGTTCCCAATTAACTGTGGGTTGCAGCATGGCTGGAAAAAATCCTTCCGCTTCCAAGCAGGACTTGTGCTGAAAAAAAAAAAAAAAATTTCACGGTTCGCGTGAGACTCGGCCAAAGGCCCAGTTTTCCGCATCCGCAGGAACGCCACCACCCTCTTGGATCAAGGCGCAGATGCAGCTCCTAAGCGGTGGGAGGTGAGTAGATCAGACCCACCACAAAGTGGTCAAAGACCGAAATCCCATTCACTGCATCCATGTTTCCCTCGTGCCAGGCCACGAGTTCCCAATTAACTGTGGGTCGCAGCACGGCTGGAAAAAATCCTTCCGCTTCCAAGCAGGACTTGAACCTGGTACCCTCTGTTTCTCAATCATGGTCTTAGACCATCCCACTATGCCTGCCTGCCTGAAACACATGGTTAAATCACTCTTTTTAAATGTTTGGCAGCAGTTTGTGCATCGTTAGGTTTTCTTCAAGGAACGAGAGATTATTCCTGATACAAGTATATTATTTATGAAAAAGAAAAAAAGGACCAAGAAGCTACATGTTATGCTATGCTGTCCACTAGCACCAGCAGTTACTACACAATCAGCTCATGCGATACCATTGCACGACACAACGCTACTGACGTTCTACAACTAACTGGCTAACAGCTCATATAACCATGATAGATTGGCTATACATACCACAAATGTTCCGTCCACAAACTCAAATGACATGGTGGCAGGCGTGTCCAAATGGTCATGTCGTCTATTGCCCACTTGTGCTGAGATGATCTGTGAGCCGACCGAACTGTTTCCACCCAAACTGGAGTCCTGGAACAAAGCCTGTGTCTTGTAGAGAATGTACTGGGTGGATGCTAAGTTACACAGTGAGTCATTGGACAGAACCGACGAGTCTGTGATCGCACTGATTGTACTACCAGCTATGTCGAAGGCAACGCCTGCATCAGTGCCTGTCAACATATACAAATGTCACAGGCAAATGTACCAGAATAACGTTAATAGTGTCAGTAAAGGATGAATAGACTAGCACGTTAACAGCCAGGATGTCACTAGTGCCACATTTGAATGACAACTAAAGCTGGCTATCACTTCTCGACTCGAACGGTATACAGAAGACAATATTGGCGTGTGTGTGTGTGTGTTGGGGGGGGGGGGGGGGTTCTGAACGGTGAGGAGAGACGCACTGCGACCTAGTCAGCCAATTTCAAAAGACAGCTACTGCTGGTGGTCGAGCCATCACAGTGACCTGCATGGTTAATACAGTGCTGGAAACTGAAATCCGACCGCTGAGCGGTGCACTCACATAGCAAACACCCAACACGGGATGGAAAAAACTACGAAACAGAGACCGCTAGAATGTGGACGCAATGCTAAGGTGTCGGATTTCAGTTGCCAGCACTGTGCCAGTTGAGTTATGATCACATACCAGCAGCAGAGCCATTTGTCTCTCCAACGAAGAACTGCCCGCCTTCACCGGCAGACCGGAATGCTTGAGTTGTGGCATTTTCCTTCGGGCAGCTCACCGCAAATCCAATGTTCTCTTTCTGGCTAACAAACGGCTCCTCGGTGCTCACGTCCAGAGATGTGACAAGACGCTCCATTGATTTTGCAATCCTATCAAGAGCAACACATGAAACTTTGATGGCTGCTCATTTCACAAAAGCAGTGAATTGTTTTAACAAGTCACCATACTTCCTAGACAGTCAGAAACACACCTTCAAAGGCATGGGGCTATATTTGCAGGCACTTACATGCTTTGCATCATTATACATTTATACATTTTAAAACGGTATAGCGATACAGTCAGACCTCGCTTATCCGGTCCTCGTTTATCCGGATCCCTCGCCATCCGCAAGAAAATAGTTGGTTACAAATGTACAGCATATGCCATGCTTACATACAGTATGTGTGTTCGATTATCCGGTTCCCTCGCCTATCCGGATATTTTTGTGGAAAACGGACGTGTGCGGTTATGCGAGGTCTGACTGTACATGTAGTAAGCTACGTGGATGTTACAGAAAATGTGTTCCGTGAAGACAGCAGCTGTTTCTATACAAAAACGCATTGTAGCTAGTCGTCTGTGACTTATTGCTCTGTATTCAACTGCATTGTATAAAGTGTCTCAGGTTTCAGCCATTTCCCTAAAATCTTCTTTCCAGTAGGTATGGACAGTCTGCAGTTTACAAGACATAATTACGATAAATCTGAATTGCAGCAAAACTACTACTTACACACCTATGCATCTTAAAAGCTGGGCATTATAATTCTATTGACTAAAGTTGGCATTAATTAATTTTGATGAAACCTGTTGATCATCTACTGAAGTCCAAAAAAATGTTTTAGAACTGGCCATCCATACACTCTCCACTGAGATCCAAATACATGCATTTTGAATAGAACAAATCTATAGATGCCCCAAATACAGGTACTGATGCATTGCAAGCACAGCCTAAGAGTAGAGAAACACACCTTTTTGCTGGCGCTGATCCCACCAAAGACTCCTTCGTCGTGACACTGAGAATGTTGTCCACCGTTTGCAGAGATGAATTTGCAACCTGTGCATGGAGAAATACAGATGGGAATTGAAGATAAAATACTGTAGCAGCTTGGCCGTTAATGTTCTAGGTGTAATGTACTGCTGTTATGTGTTATCACGTTGTCTTTCCTTCCTTTCTCCTTTGTTCATTTCTCGCTTTGATTGTTAAAATTCACACTTGTAAATTTCACTGCTGTTGCTCTTAGTGTTATTTCTCTAACTTAAATACTGTAGAGCTGGTAATTTTAGCGACTATTAATTTTAGCGTTTTCCCATTGTCAACCGGTTAGCGACGTTTTATTTTAGCGATTTGCAGCGATTTTCCTCACGGATCACCAGTGCCCTACTAATGCCTCAACGGATTAGGGACTTGAAACTTTAGCGAAAATGAGTCGATCGCTAAATTCGCTAGGGTTTTTACGTCGCTGAAATTACCCGTTCTACAGTAGGGGTATTTACTATTTCGTCAACTAATCCGACACCCACGGTCAACTGGGTGCTCACAGCTCGGAGTGAGAATAACAAGGATGCAGTTTACAGGGTTATGGGCCGTTACACGCCCGATTGGTTGAGAGACTAACCTCCTCTCCCCTGACTCACTTGTGAGGTCTGCATTCGCCACTAAGGTTAACAGGCATAGTGGTGGCCTGCGGATGCGAAGGCTAGTTTGTGTGTTTCTGAACATTCAAGTGATGCCGACGCGGATCCCGCGAATATTATTTATTATTATTAATCCGGTTGTGTTTCTCAACCCAATTGTATAGCCGGTGGTGATGTAGACTTGAGAATGTTTATTTTTTTATTCCCTCAACTAAGTCCAATACATTGCCAAAGTGAACACACAACACAATATTGCCATTTCTGCAGGTGAAAAATGCCCTAGATTCACACAATTGCAAGCAATAAGGTTTTGAGGGATTTCAACCACAATTCAAATTATGGATTCCTTTTTTTGTGAAGCTGCAAGAAGCTATAAACTGATCTTGAAAAGACATTGTTCCACACGAAAATTGTGCAAACATTATTATTCTTTGTTAAGCGTTTCTCTTCAAAGCAACAGAAGTCACTTTCAAATGTGCTCTATACATGATTCCATTCCAACAATTTACCTGTTGACCAATACTTTGGTTGAAGACTTCGTCTCCACTGATGGCTGCCACAAGATTGAAGATGGCAGTGGAGGCGAAATCTACGGCATCCGACGTCAGCTCGGCACTGTTCTCAGTCAGGTTTGCCATGAACTGAGAGCTTGCCAGCACTGAGCCAGGTTCACTTGCATTGAACTCAATCTGAGAGACATGAAGGTGAATTCAAGGAATGGTGTTACCGTTAACAAAGTCATCTTCCATCGCCATATCTCATTGGATGATCCAAATCAAATAATACGCCCAGTACATGTTGATGGGTTGTCAGCACGACTGGAACTAACATATCTCGATCTCTTGAAGAATGCACACACTTTAGATAAGCCACAAATGAAAACTGTAATCTCTCATGTTTAGGTACAAGGGGTTTATAGTTCAAGTTATGATAAAATGTCACCAAATCAAAAGGCGCACATACCTTTGAGAGCTGTTGCAGCTTAGCTGTCGCAGGGGTGGGACACGCAGACATGTTGGGTGTTGCCCAGTAAGCCATCTCCAGTTGTAATTCATGCAGCCTTCTACCGCTAATGCATGACCGGGTGGCGTAGCGGAAAATGGAATCTGCTAGTTCAACAGGGCAGAGAAGTGTTGCCTCCTCATCATGAAATGTTTCCGGCCAGGAGAACATTCCGCGTTGCCCACCATCCGTTGAGTCTGGACTGCAAACATCTGCAGACAGCATTACAATGGGCAAATTACAACATACTGCTTACTGCTGCTTTATTGTTCCAAGTATCAGTTTAGTTTAGTTTAACATTTCTTCTTATTATTTTTCTCACCCCACATCCTCTACTCTGTTTTTGGCCTTCTTAAGAGTTGTGTCCATCACTGTTGAGGCTTCCGATGGAAAATAAAAGAATACTACTACTACTAGTCAGTCAGCAAGTCATACAGCATGATAACATATCTATTCCCAATTCCAACCAAGCAAAGAACTGACTATATTTTTTAACCCTCTACCGCAAGGAGGTGAATACCCTCCACTCTGTAACTAACCTATTGTGATCAGAGGAGTCCAGAGGGATACAGTAGCTGTGATACGAGTGATTTACTCACCATATGCGAAGACTGTGAGGTCCGATTGCGGTGCCAATTTCAGATCGAACACTGAGTTTTGCAGCAGCTGAGAGAAGTGCATTCCGATGTTTGAAGCGCTGCTGTTGCCAGATATCTGTGCGATATAGTCGGCTGGTGCAGTGACATCACACTGAATCTCAAAGATGGGTCTAGTGAAGGAAAAGAGCAAATGCTCATTATCAACAATTTCAATCCATAATGAACAGCTAGTCCAAAACTTGCTAACTATTGGAAAAAAAATGCTATGACCATATAGTTTGGGTCTGTGGATTTACAAGAGCAGTCATCGTGCGGTGCTTACCACTACCAGTGACCCCTTTGTTGATTTTGCAAGTCCTCGCCAAGTTGGTATCTACCTTGTCTTTGAGGTCTAGCCAGATAACGAGTTTCACAGATTTATTAAACATTGTAGGATGGAACTTTTTTATGGGTCCAATTCGGTGTGGAGGGGTTTTTGGGGAATGGGAATAATTTTCATTTTATCCAGCAGTCTATGATTGGCACACTGAAGAGGCAAGTGGCTGGATTTTGATGGCCAAATTCTGAATTTAGGACCCTGAACTTCTTGCCCTGCGTCGTTGGACTACAGTCAACGTTGCGTATAACGACACTTGGGGGGGGGGGGGGGGGGGCATCAGAAAATGTCCTTATTTGTGAAGTGTCCTTTTACCCGAAGTCTCATAAAAACAGTTAGATGGGACTTTGCTCTGGGCATGGAAGTTCTGTCGTTATTCGCGAATTCAAATTATATCCGCAGTCGTTATTAGCGAAGTTGACTGTATATAGAAAAAATCACTTTAGTGTCCAGGAAAACATGTTGAGACCAGTGCACTGGGTCACTCCAGTTCTATATTTAACAGTTTACCAATCCACTGGTTCACCCCTGTTTCATGATCATAAGGTTGAAAGCTCCTTCTAACCCAAATGCACAATGTTCGCAAAGCTCTTAATCTTACCCTTGTCGTCGTGACTGAAAATGTTCAACTCCAACTAATCTTCCTTGGAACAGATGCTCTGTGACCTGCAACCAGAACGGCAAGAATTAATTAAAATATCACTGGATTGACCATGGAGATGGTATCTAGGGTGCACCAATAAATGCTAAGAACTCGAATTCTCCAAACGTCAACATGAGAATAAGTATGTTCCGAGTCATCACTCTATCACGTTGTTAACACGACCATCACAGTTTCTTGACTGCACACTCACACACACAGCACACACATACCAGTATCCTGTATATACACTGCTGTAGTTCTGGAAAGAAAATGGTGGAAACGAACAATTCCCAGATGCATCATAGTTGTAACAACCCAGTCATGCTTCAATGCTGCACTGCGTAATATCTACTTATGTGGCCTGACTGTGCCGCATTTGAGCAGTCTCAGAAGACAGGTTGCACACATGTTATACATTCACCACAACACACCTGCTGTACAAAGAAATCCTCTTGTTCTTTCTCAGTCTTCGCGCTGTATCCAGTGGGCATTGAGAAATTTCCCAGAATGCCAATGCTGGTTTTACCTGTGGAAGAGTGAACATGAAGGCATACAACATGCTAGAAGTTTACAGTCACATTCCACCCTACCTATTTGTCAGGTAATATTTTTGAAGATCACGCTAAGCGTGTCAGTGTTTTCTTCAGCTTGTAAACATTGTCCTGAGTTTTTGATAGGGGTCAAACGGGTGTACCTTTAACTAACGAACGGGTAATTTTCTTAACGGGCGGGTTAACGGGTACCCTTTAGCAGCCATATTATTTTTTTGCGCATTTCTCACATAAATCATGATTTTGATTTGTATATTCTCAGGTTGTATTTTGATACTACATTATGATTCGCAATTGATTCGTGTATCATAATATTATTATGGCAATGAAGGTTCCAAATGAATGTCATCCGTGCATTTGCCCATGTACATAACTTCACAGGCAGTAACTTACAATCGTACATGTAATAATAATAATATCTTTATTAGGACCACCCAGAGGCTTGTGTCGCCTATCAAGGGGTTCACCGCTTTGAAGGATGTACATGACGATTGTACACGTATGAGCTAAAGTAAAAGTAGTGAAAAGTTGTGCAGCGTGAATGCGTTGGGGAGCACACGGGGGGGGGGGGGGGGGGGGTATGTACATGGCGTAGGCTGTAGATGGTCCTACAAGCTACATGTATTTTGATACACTACGCAAATCAACTGCAGATCGATGTGATTCAAGCCATGCAAGGACAGAGTGGTTTAGCAAAACTTCCGTGATCTCGCGCAATCCTATTTGCTATGTTCGCAGAGAACTGGTACTCGTTGCATTCAGAAGATGTTCGCGCCCAGAGCTAGCTGGGGTGCCTGACACAGCTGATGTGCTGCTGGCCAGCTAGCTGCTAGTGCTAGCTTGTTGAACTCGTGAAAATGAATCTTCACAAATCCGTAATCTTGTATGCAATATTTCGAACTACTTTTCAGCTCGTCGATTGAAGGAACAAACTACAACCATGAGTATCATACATGTAGCTACCACCTACGGACATCACCGTTTGTGACACTCCGACTGGTCACTCAGCCTGGTGACACTAGTTCATCAAGTACTGTGGCAGGTTCGATGTCGGAGAACCATCGTAACTTTCTAGTTACTCAGCTGCCACCTCGAACGAGTTTCAAGTCTTGCATTTTCTCACATCACAATCAAAAACCTCCAGTACGAGGATTTTTACTTGCACTAGAGTGGAGAGAACAACTGTCAAGTCTGTCTTTCAGCCTGCTCCTGCCTGATAAAGTCGAAAGCGGGAATGCACAGGAAAAAGGAAAAGAGTATCCGCACTCCTATTTTGAGTCTTGGAATACGATAGGATCACCTTTTTTAATTTTTTTTTATTTATTTATTTTTTTTACAAACGGGTACCCTTTTACTAACGGTACCTGAGATTAACGGGCGGGTACCCGGGTACCCGGTACACCCGTTTGACCCCTAGTTTTTGACGAAACAAATTCGGCAGCCATCATCTTAAACATGCAGTAATATTGACCCAGTCACTCCTTGTCTCTCAACAGCCATCAGTTTACAAATCATGGATTCGAGTAAGGCCCAGAGTTCACACATGTTATAGATATTTAAAAATGTTAAAACTGAGGATGTCTATTTACCTTGAACTGTGAGTTGAAGTTGTTGCTTAGCAACAGCCACTTCATTGCTAACTGTGCACAAGTAGGAGCCTCCGTGGCAGCTTTTCAACGGTGATATGGTCATTGAATTTGTCAGCGGCCCATCCTGTGTGGCTAGTAGCCTGGCACAATTATCAGTTCGTGCTGGAGACAGACAGTTCCCGGTGTCGTCCACTCTACACCAGTGTACGTTCGGTGTTGGCTGACCACTGTAAGTACATGGAACTGTTAGCGATGACCCTTCAAACGACAGCAGCTTTCTTGGTATTGCAGGGCTGATGTTCGGCGCATCTGAAGTTAACAATCAGGAATGGGAATGAACAAAAAATGTGCGAACATAGCCAACTCATTCACTGGTTGGAGGGAAAGACGCAAACGGGAAAAAGCCTACACAACTAGTTATTGCTAGCTTCGCTGATTGGGCAAAGCAGGTGCCAAGTTATCCGCTCTGATATATTTGCGACTGGCACACTAATTGAATCACCCCACTGCCAGGACATTTGGCCAGATCTCAATCTCAATCTCAGCACCCTGCAGTGGTAAAAGGGGTAACTTGATGATTAAAAAACAAACATCTGCTCTGCGGGACACAATGCGTCATCAATATAATTCATTTGCTGCACATCCAATGCATACATTATATACTTAACCCACAATGCAGGTGTGCAGGTGTGTATATGGGGGGGGGGGGGGGATAGCCACAGCAAGAAGTATATCATCCATGGATCCAAATACACAAAAACCACTCACACCGTATCCACGTTACTCGCACACCTTATCCGGTCCAGTAATGTGCAAATATTATAGCAAGTGAATGATTATAATTATTGAATAAGGGTGACTACTATAGTCCATTCAGAAAAAGAAGATATCCTAGCTTTTGGCCATAAACGGGTCAAATTTTGAGTTTTCGTCCCAATTTGTTTGGCAATCCCCCATGGAATGCTCTTCCAATTGTGTTTTTGAAGTCTATTTCTCCAAAAAGCAAGCCATAACAAGAATAGGATTTCGGCACTTGCATAACAGTACATTTGCCGTTCGAACCCCAGTTAAGGTGCCTTTTTTGGACCCTTTTTCAAGTTTCGAATCGCGCGGCCCTGCAAAGTGTACCACAAAATCGCCAAACACGGGAGCTCTCCAGAGCCAGCGCTCATCTTTTTCTGAATGGACTGTAGCTACCTTCCTAAGGGTGTGCAGACTCCAATGTAGCCACTTCATATTTCACACAGTTATACACCACTACCCAAAAAACAGTCCCTCGGCTACAAATTCCTCCAAAAATAATTAAAAAAAATATTATCCAAATTTTCGGGCCAGGGAATTTGCAGCCGAGAGACCGTTTTTGGGTAGTGGTGTATATATTGTGTGACTAATAACTACTTCTTACAATTGATATCCAGTTGGGCCGGGTTACCAGTAACCACTCCACCAGCATACCGATCCTTGTTGCTAGCCTCACAATGGTAGAGGTCAGCATCTGCGATTTCTGTTCTGTAAATCGTCAAGACGTTCTGACCTCGAAAGAACGACACTCGCCCGACAAGATCATCTTGCTGCAGTAACTGAATACAAGATACATACACAACAAGGTTTGCAAACTGCTCAAACATGAAGGGGTATTTGCATGTCCATTGGTCATATTACTATGAGGTTGAGCACAATCTATTTAAAACATCTTTCATTCATTTCCTTATAAAAACTTTAGTTCAATAATATTCCTAGGTAATAAGGATATACTTGATCAGCTCTGGGACAGTTCTGATGAAGTAACAAAGACAATCAGGACCAGGACTAGCTACAGACCAGCAATGCTCTACCCTGTGATGTAGTTCATGGCCCAGCAGAGCTGACAGCCTGTACATAGCTGTTGTATACTTACGACTCCATTTCTAAACCAGGTTACGGTTGGTGCTGGTATACCCGATGTGTTGCACATGAATATCACAGTATTTCCGGCCAGCACAGCTGTGTCGTGAGTATCGATCTCGATCACAGCTGGAACTGTAACAGGAAAAAACGAAAGAGAAAAAGGAAATCACGTTCCTAGGATATAGATCACGTATGGACAGGAAACAAAATCTTGAAATTATATTACCAGCCTTATCTCCCATATGCCTTGATCCTTGAAGGGTGGTGGCGTTCCTACGGATGCGGAAAACTCGGTTTCCAGCCGAGTCTTACGCGAACCGTGAATTGTGTTATTTTTCGCTGGCTGAGCGTAGCGAATGAAACGAAAAATGTATTTTTTGCCAGCATTTTCACCATAGTTACGGCACCAGGATTGCGTCAGCTGGTTTTTTGTCAGTGTTCTCAAACTTTTCGCTTCATCGTGGTCTTTCTCTTTTCGTTGTAGTTTCCCACCCGCCCTCCCGTTTATTCTCACTTCGGGATAGGTCCTGCAGGCTACGTTTTGTTCATTTATCTTATGGGGTTATTCTAACCGGTTTTTCCTCAGGGTTGTGCTTCCGCCGGGGTCCTGAGGTTTTTTCCGCCAGCTTCGGACTGGTGGTTCACTTCTTGTATCATGTTGGTCTGGTACATACGTGTACATGTATATGCGTGAGGTGGCATGCCCTTAACCTTCTTCATGCTCATCTATACACTACGCTCTTCCATCTTCCACCGTGAGTGAACAAAGACCACACTACTACTGTGATCTGTATCTTTCTGTTGTGTGTGGGTGTGTCTGAGGTGTACGCAGAGGCCAGCTAGCTGGCAACAAAATATTTTTTTATCTCTCATGCTGCCATACGACACTATCCATGGTACTGTACACATTCCTACATGAAATTGCTCTAACGATCCTAACTCCAATTATCCACAAAATTCAACTCTAAACGCAGGTATCTGGCAGCAGAGAGTCTCAGCTGGTGTGTTTCCTTAGATTTATAAGTACGGTCATACCTTGGACAGCAAAGTCAATTTAGTAAAATTCTCCATTGTGAGTCACACATTCTCAGCACTCTCAGTTGATTGGGCTGCCTAGTTGATATCATACATGTCTGCTTTGAAAAATACACATTGCTCATGCTTTACTAAGGAAGACATTTACCGTAAACAGAGATTTTTGCAGATGCAGTGGCATTGGGCGAGTGTCCATTGTCGACAACACATTCAAAGTTTCCTTGATTTTTGGCATTCTTGACCGACAAGATGGTTAGTGTGGACTTGACAGCAAAGCCACCTCTCTTGTTTGTATGTACATCAGGATGATCAGCACTGGCCTCGAGGACTCCCTGAGCCTTGCTCGCATTGTGATACCAGTGTATTGTAGGCTTCGGCAAGCCCGTTCCGATACATTCCAATACTACTAAAGAGTTCTCGTTGGTTCTAACTGACGTTGGTGTTGTCAGAATTGCAGGCCTCTCTGAGAATTTCGGGAAGAGAAAGAACAACAATAATATGACCAGTCAAGCACACATTGTCACATTTCTTTCTGGGAGTGCGTTGTTTTACCCATTTTGCAATGTCAAATTGGAAATATTCTATAACACGAATACAGTAAAACCTGTGACTACCGGCCACCTCTTGGTGCCAGCAAAAGCGGTCTTTAGTAGCAGGTGGTCTTTAGTTAGAGGTTTGCACCGCGTGACCATATAATGGATCCTATTATATGATATGTATGTCAAAATGCAGCTAATACAATTCCCCAGGACTTGCACAAAGTCATTCTTATTTCAGGTCGAACAACACTTGGAGAGAAAGACGAAGAGATGGATAGAGACAGAGAGAGAGAGAGAGAAGATTAATTTTTTGCAGACTTCAAATTCAGCTGCTACTTCTGAAGCTAGGAGTCAAACGTTCACTGGGGAAGTTAAGTTTTGCGCTGGGCTTCAAATTTGTTCATGCGATCAATCGTACCGACTGTCCTTGTTGTGACTCCTTGATTGCTTGAACGCGATCCTTCAGCATCAGGACCTTGTGGTGCTGCTTTGTTTCTGGATTCCTTGATGCCATCGTCGATCCGTCTGTATGACTGGGGTGACAGAGCCGCCCAGTCTTCGTTTCTCCTCCGAGTAGTAACATCGATCAGAGAGCGCTTTTGATGCGCTCTCCAAGACGTTTCCTATCATGTTTACTCTTGACAGCGCTTGAAATTTTGACAGGTGTAGTGCAGTCCACACCGACTCCACGGTCAAAATTACCTGCGTTCATTTGTTCAGCTGTAGTATCGAAAGATTCCTTTCAGGACCATGGAAATCAGGAAAATTTCGAGAAGGAGCTTTGAGCAACATTTGATTTCCCACATCGCGGTCGCTAGTTACGGGTCAAAAATCGTCTTTGGAACAAGAAAAGGCGGTCACTGGTCGCGTTCAGCAGGTAGTCGCTAGTCAAAGTGCATTTTGAATGTGAGACCTTCCGTGCCTGGCGAAGTGGTCTGTAGTACCAGGCTGGTCGCTAGTCAGGGTGGTCTTTAGTTACAGGTTTTACTGTACTTGCGTAGAATGACTCGGGTGCGTTTACCACTAAGAAAGGCAATACATGAACAAATCACTGTCGCACATAGTCAGCACATAGTCAGCAGCATAAACTCGGTGCTGAGTGAACTGGTCGATTTGAGGTGTGTGAACTTCAGTGATTACAGGACCTGAGGAATGCACTGCATGCAATCCCTACATACCTTCGCTCATTCACAGTTATTCACACAGTCACTGAAAGTTCATGCGAGTGAGCTTTCAACCCTTTTCCATAGAATTGTCCTTACTATGCCAAGGCACCCCCCCCCCCTACCACCCCCACTCCCACCCCAGTCCTCCCCTCCCTACATACCACCTCCAGCCCCCACCTCGTCCAACCCAGCTTGGACGTAAAACTCCGGCGCAAACACGCTCTGATAGCAGGCATGTCAATGAAAATAGGAATACGAAGAGATCTGGTAGATAACAACCTATATGTAAAGCAGTGTGATCCGTTACTCTGAGTTAAATGACAGGAGATCCATCACATGTGGTAGCTATAACAAGCATCTAGTGGCATAGATGATACGGACCACAAGGCGAAACATTATATTGGCCTGGCTTGCGAAAAATCTCCATCTCACCTGCATAAGTCAGCATAAATGTTACATTGACTTCTCCAGCCAAGTTTCCCAGTCTGACATGGTACGTGCCAGCATTGTAGTGCTGCATGTTGGCTATTGACAATGTGAGGTTGTCAGTGGAAAGTGAATACCCGGATGAGAATCCACTCCAGGATAGATCGCCAATCTAGAGAGCAAGCAGAACAGGGATTAACCGTGACATACCGACCCTCCTTTGTTTTTGCTTTCTCCAGCATGCACTATGCATTACATGCTGCACACTGCATTGGCTATAAAGCCAGCGGTATGTTGAAGAAGACGGAAAAGACTTGTGTATATGGAATTATCAGGATTTGGATGTGCAAATTCTCATTTTGACTGCACGTACCATGGAACAGTATGGGTAGGGTGTTTGTATCACTAGGTTTTGGAGAAATATACCTTAAAATCTGATCTATGGAATTGTTCATTTCTCTCAAAGATTCTGGAATGATCAAATCCACTGCTGTTATTCGACGGCTGTGGATTACTGTGCAGATTTGCGATAACGGGCTGTGTAACTTGGGTGGGAATACTACCTTACCTTTGTCCATGTTATGTTGCTGGATGGCACCTGTGGATGTCCAGGATGTGAGAGAGTAACAGGGAGTTGAACCATATCCCCTCTAAGCGCCTCCACACCTTTGGGATCCAAACGTATAACTGGAAGAACTGGATAGCAATCGAGAACAGAGATTGCATACCGAGAGCGAAATTGGGGTAAGAAAAAATAAATCCCAGGACCTCAACCACAGCTGGACATTCCAGGAATGTTGCAGAGAGATTTACTGCATAGACCCTCAATAGTGACTCACTAACGCATCCAAAAAACATAATTTTATTGCGTCCGAGGGACTGAAAAGGGTCTGTCTGAGAAAAATTGCCCCTGACACCACAAAAACTCGAACCAGGACCAGGGACCTTCACTAAAGACAAGTGATGCTCACCACTGAGATAGGGTGTAACAGTCATTGTGAATTTCTCCGGCAAACTTACCATAGACATCAAGAGCAGCTGCTTTCGAATCGATTATTCCTCCAAGTGCTGCTATTGTGCTATGTCGATTGTCAGCAACACAGTGATAGTCGCCACGGTTACCAAATGTCACATTCTTCAGCGCGAGTATAGCATTGCCTCGTGTCATTTGCACATTTTCAGACGGGAACAAGGCCTGGGAAGAGTAGAAGCAAAGAATTCATGATCAGACTTTTATCAAATGCACACCATTCTTCTTTTCCAACTCCACAGATCACTGAATGTACACGGTTTTAGATGGTCAAAAAAAGCTAGCTGTGAACAGCATTGGGTATGTACTACGTACCCCTCTCTGACTATTTTAATTTGGTGCATTCCATTTATATCTAATATTATTTCTTTGGAAGTGAAGTGAACTTATGCAGCGAAGAGACTGTAGTTGGAGATTTTGAAGTGAGGTACCCTGTAATGTGTGAGTGGCTGCAATGGAGTGTGCGAGTGCTTAAAAAATGTTTTTAAAAGAAGAGGTAGAGTAAATTTATTTCCTGTATTTCACCCTCAGTGTGGATCTATACAGACATGCTCAGTGATTGTAGTTGTCAGGATTATGAGGAAAGAACAGTGCATCTTGATATGATAGTGCAACCCCAAAACTATCTTATCCTGAATTATCCCTAGCTGGGAATTCTGAGTATCAGTATGTCTTGCACACATGCCAACCTGAACATTATCCTAAATAAAAAATAATTTAATAATAATTATAAGTAAATTGATGCACCAGTGAATCAGTTTTATACCTTTCCATCCTTGAACCAGGAAATTGTAGGAGGAGGCACACCATACACACTGCAGAGAAACGTGGCTGCACCTCTTTCTGATGAGCTAGCATTCGCTAGCGGCGACAATTGAACGGTGGGCACTGGACAATAAGGAAAACCATAAGTATAATATTTTTTGAAGATCTCATAGCAAATGCACATCTCCTACAAAGCGTTCAACTATGTGGTGTGCACAATCACATCTGCAGTATTCTATGGATTCTAGTGCGATGAGCAGACCTACTCTTTGCCGGTAACAAAACAATCATCCAAGAATTTCTTTGATAATATCAATACAGCAAACTATAATGCCTTCTGATGTGATGCAAACTTACCATACACCTTGAGTGCAGCTGTATAATTATCAGCCGGGGAATACCCATTGGAAGCTAAACACGAGTAAGATCCTTGATTGGCATGGTTGGTTACGTTGCTGAGCTGAAGAACAGATGCTGCACCCTGGATATCACGTTGTATAGTAGCAGCATTGCTAAATGCGCTGCTAGAGATGTGCACTGTCGACCATGAGTCATCCAGTGTGGTGCCGTTATAGTACCAGGAGATGTTCGGGGCTGGACTTCCACTGACATTGCAGAAGAATGACACTGATGACAGTTCATTGACATGTGCAGGTGTGAGTCCTCCAATGATTTTTGCTGGTTCTGAATAGAGCAAAGAATTTGTTGAACTGTTTTGCAAAATATCTATCTGGAGTAGTTCAACAACATCAATATCATGAAAGGGAATTCCCCAAAACACTGTTTGAGCAGAATTGGTG